GAGGGGAGTAATTGACTTTGCAGCTTAGGAGTGGAGATCCCTGGGACCACCAAGGGAGAAGAGCGGAGTGTGAGACCCTACCCAGAGAAGCAGTGACGCTAGAGATGAAGGCAGAGACGATGACATGGAGAGATAGAGCAGATAGGAACTTTAGACACAGAGAGGGAGAGGGGCTGTGTGCTGACAACCAGGGGGCAGGCTTGCAGGGTATACCCTTTAGTTGGTTCATGATGCATGGAGGGGATTGTAACCATGGCAACAAAATGATATACGATAGGATGACTGTAAAGCTAATGTTCTCCCATGTAAACTATTACATAATTCACAATAAAACATTAAAAAAAAAAAAAAAAAGGTAGAGAGAGAGAGAGAAGTCAGAACTTGCCCAGGCCACCCACCTGGGCTCAGCAGTATGTGGAGGGACCTCTGCAGTTAGTTCTACACCACCAAGGAATCCTGCCTCCTTCCTATTCCCCTGGCCTCAGCTTGGACCAGTTTTAGATCCTGCTTTCCTGAGAGAGGAGTCCCTGGGTGGTACAAATACTTAACATGTCAGCTGCAAATTAAAAGGTTGGAGGTGCAAGTCTATCCAAAGATGCCTTGGAAAAAAGGCCTGCTGATGTACTTGTGAAAAATCAGCCACTGAAAATCCTGTGGAGGACAGTTGTACTTGGACACACATTGGGTCACCATGAGTGGGAGTTGATGGTTACTGGTAGTAGCTGGAAGGATGGTTCTGAGTCCCCATCTGTGTCTTCTATGTCCTGATTTAACTTACCCTACTTAACTCTCCATTTCTCAGATTTCTCACATTAGCACCACCACCACCACCACGATGTTTCCACAAAGGCCCTGTGGCCCTAGCTTTTTCCTTTGTTCCACTTCCCTCCTTCCCCTCCTGCTCTCAGTTGTCCCCAGACACTGACTCTGTGTTCAGGGAAGAACTGGGTTCGGGAAACCTATGAAGGTTTGGACGCTTAGATGTCAGCTATTTTCAGCTCCTGCCTTCTCTCTCTACCCTGGTCCTCCACATACAAATGATGCATTTGCAGCTCTTATCAGAGCACACAGAGGACTTTGTTTCCCATGTCCTCCCTTAACAGGGTCATACCCTTGGGTGGGTGCCCTTAGATGCTCCAGCCCCTCCCCAGATCTGCTCACAGGCCCCAGGAGGCTCCCAAGCAGGTGACATCCCAGATGCACACTTTTGCTTTTTTCTGACATAACATTAGAATGAACATCTTTGGAAACAGTTTTCTCTGCCTTAACTAGATGTAGCTGTGTTTTCTTAAAATGCAGTTATTGGCTCCACATAGATGACCAGCTGTATCCTCAAGGTTCCCTAAGTTAGGGGCGCGGTTAAGAACACAGCTCTGTGTCCAAGCCAGCCCCACCTCTATCTTGAATGTGACTTTGACCTCTTGGGGTCTCACTGTCCTCATCTGCAAAAGGGGGATGGCAGATACCACTCACAGGGCTGTTGTGAGGGCTGACTCCTGAGGTGAAAAGACCTGGCTCACTAAATACATTCAACTCAGCTTCCTCCCTTCTTTGTACCTTGCCCCTCAAGGACAACAGCCACTTGTAATTTTGTCTGTTTCTGTTTTCTCCAAGGTTCCTTTCTTTGATATTTGTAGGAAAGTGGCACATCCCAACCCATCAGGGCACAAGGCTGTTCTGTGCAGTGGCACAAGCTGGGCATTGCACAACCCTGGGAGATGTCACTCACATGGACGTTATAGAGGTACATAGTTGTTACGCTTTTCCAGAGGAAGGAGACTTGTGAGCTGGTAGCAGCCTTAGCACTCCACTCCACGACCGCAGGCAAACTACTGAATATCTCTTACGTCAGTTTACTGATCAATGGAATAGTGACAATCCTTCTTACCTTGTAGCAACAGGTGTGTAATAGAGCATATACCAAAAACCAAATTCACTGTTGTGTATTCGGACTCATAGTAATCCTATAGGACAGATTAGAATTGGACCATAGGTTTTACAAGACTATAAATCTTTATGGGAGCAGGCTACCTCATTTTTCTCCTGAGGAGTGGCTGGTGGGTTTGACCTGTTGATCTTGTAGTTAATATCCCAATGCTTAACCTACTGTGCCACTTGTAGACAATATAGATACTGATTTTTCTCCCCTTCTTTTTGGCCTTGAATGGTGGCAGAAACCAGGAGGGTTCTGGGTAGAGCCTCATGAATGAGCACGAGAGTGTGAGTGCCTCCTATGTGCCAGGCACGTTAATAGGTACTTTCGATTATTTAAATTATTTCTTCTTTATACTGTTATCAACTGCAGGACCCTCTTAGCTGTCACATTGCAAAGGGTAGAAATGTGACCTGGGTCCAGAGGGGATTGGCCAGCAGGCTGTGGGGTCATCTCAACACCCCGCCCCAGCTGAGCCTGGTCTTACCTCTACATTGATTGTAACATTGACCACTGTACTGTAAACAGGCACGCCACTGTCAGCCACACACACGCTCAGCACAATGCGGCCCCCTAGTGCAGGGTCGATGGCCTCTCGGTCCAGGGGTCCCCGGTTTGTGAGGAGCCCTGTATCGGTGTCCACTGAGAAGTTGCTGCTGTAGGGACCGGGCAGCAGGCTGAAGTGCAGGAGACTGTTGTTGGTGCCAGGCTCGTCCTCATCGAAGGCCTGTACAGGGTCGGGGCGGGCATCAGCTTCAGGTGACCTCAAGCCTCACCCCCTCCCCCTTCCCCTTCCTCTGAACCAGCCCACCTACTTGGGCTTGGAATCAGTAGCGTGCTGGCCAGTGTCTCAGACACAGCCTCCCATCTAAGAGGGTCAGATCAAGAGTTTGCAAGAGTACGGGAAGGATTGCATGGAGGGGATTGTAACCATGGCAATGAGATGATATATACGATAGAAAGAATGTAAAACTAATGTTCTCCCATGTAAACTATCACATAATTCACAATAAAACATTAAAAAAAAAAAAGCGTTTGTAAGAGCCTTTAAGGTCTTAAGCACCAAAAAGCTCGAGTGTTTACTGTGTACCTACTAGATACCAGACCCTGTTCTAGGCACTGAGAATAGAGCTGTGATCAAAACAGCCTCCTATGGTGCTGATATTCTAGTGGGGAGGGAGGAGTCAGGGTTGGGTATTATAAACTAAAATACTCCTTTTTTAATACCATAAAGTAAGTGTGAAGTCCAACAAAACTCTGATTTTTCCCATGATAACTATGTTGGTGTTTATTTTAAAAATACTTGATGCTTCACCCAGTGTGTGTGTGCATGTGTGTGTGTTCCTGCCCTGCCAGGGCCCTGAACATGTGCTTGGTTTTACTATGGGGTAATCCAGCACTGAGGGCACAACTGGTTCTTCCATGCCACCGGGACTTGGCACGTGCTGCTCTTAAATCCAGAATACCTTCTCCGCCTTCCCAGCCCCCGTGCTAGCTCTGACAGACACAGGTAACAACAATGTGAGCGACCTGTCTGGTGTCTTCTCCTAACTGCAAGCCACCTGGTAGCAAGAACTACAGTGGATTCATCTCAGCGAAACAAGGCTCAGCAAAGGGCCTGGGGTACAGTAGCTGGTCAGCAAATGTAGCTTCAGAGGCAGAGTTGAGGTAACTCTATATCAACTGCAGGCCCCTCTTCGCTGCCACATTGCAAAGGGTAGAAACGTGACCTGGGTCCAGAGGGGACTGCTTCCTCTCCACATCCCTTGCCTTTGCAGTTCTTTCTTTTTAGTTCTATGGGATCTTGTTCATTAAATGCCTCCTTTGTGGGAGGTCAAAGCTAGGTTTTCTAAAAGCCTGACTGTTCAGCCCGCAATGCTCTGCTTCAGGCCAGTTAATTTGCCAAGCACTTCTTAGGGTATACCCTTTGCTGCCCTGGGTACCAACATGCAGATCTGAAACCCTCCCAGCCACATGGAGCTCACAGACCAGAGTGAGAAATACTGAGAAAGGCCCAGGTTTCAGGGCAAGAAAGGCTGCAATTCCAGAGAATTTGCTTAACTTCTCTGAGTTTCAGTGTTCTGCTCTGTTAATGCGAACAATTAGAGTATCTGCCTCACAATTCAGTCTAGAGACCTGAGTGAGGTCAGGAACAGAAATGTGCTGTCAATTACACAGATCTAGAAGGGGGAGAGAGTTGTGTGGCCACATGCCTGTCATTCTGAAGGTCTGCTTTCCCATTTTCCACAAATAGCCCTTTCAGATGATCCAGGGCAGAAACTGCTCTTGTTCTTATGATCCAGGAAAGAAGTTTCTGGGTGGTTTTTTTGTTTGTTTTTTTTTTTTATCTCTTAGACACTATGAAGCTGACCACTGATCTCATTTCCCCTTTTGCTTTGGCTGTTAGGAAGCTAAGAGCTGACTTCGCTGTTCACCTGTCTCAGTTGGGTGATCCTGGGTTCTAATTCAACCTGTATGCCCTTTCAGAAGGCCATTCTTATTTTCCCTCTTTCCTTATTGCTTCCCATGGTGGTGATGGTGGTGGCTAGCCATCAAATCAGTTCCAACTCATAGCAACCCTGGCTAGGGTTTCCAAGACTATAAATCTTTACAGGAGCAGAAAGCCTCATCTTTCTCCTGTGGAATGGCTGGTAGATTCGAACTACTGACCTTGTGGTTAACAACCCAGCTTGCAAGCAGTACGCTGCCAGGACTCCTTTGTATTTTAACTTTAAAAAAAATTCTAAACCACCTCAAAGACATACTCTGTGCCCTACCTTGTGTTGAATGCTTTATGCCTATTATTTCATCCTTCCCCAGTGCCTCTGTGAATAAGTCCTAAGATGCTCCCCATCCCCCTAAAAGAAAACAGAGACCCAGAGAGACTGAGTGACTTTCTCAGGGTCACGTAATAGATCCCAGTTTGTCCCAGGGCCAGCATGACAACAGAGAGGGCTGTTCCCTGGCCACCCTGCCGGGGTCCACTCGCACCTGGATGGTCACAGAGACATTGTCCCTGTCCTCCTGGACAAAGATGTTGTAGGAGCCGCTAACCACAGGTTTGTTGTCATTGATGTCCTGCAGGATAATCTGTAACATGGTGGAGTCGGACAGGTTCCCACCATCTGTGGCCTGCAGCGTGAGGTAGTACACAGCTTGTTTCTCACGGTCCAGCAGAGTGCCGTTTCTCACCGTCAATGTCCCGGTGTTTGGGTCCACCGCAAAGAGGTCCGCCCTGCACAGGGTTGTCCAGTTTCACAAATAAAACATTCAGGTTATCCTGATCCATTTGAAGTTCAGATAAAGCATAAAAAATATTTTAGTATGCCCATCCCATGCAGTGTTTGCAACTTACACTAAAACATCATTTGGGGTTTATCTGAAATTAACATGGAACTAAATATTCTGCAACCCCAGCCCTGTGTTGAGGCAGAAGGTCCCAAGTCCTGCCCACCCGCTGCCTCCTGAGCCCCGAGGCCTTACCCATTTCCTTGGAGCAGGCTGTAGGTGATGCGGCCACCCTCACCCGTGTCGGGGTCAGTGGCCTGTGAGGCAGACAAATGGGGGGCATTGTTTGAAGACAATGACATTTGTTGCCAATCTCCCAATTATTGGGGGTGGAGCTACCCTGCTTTCTGGCACAAGGAAAGAAATGCCCCTGAGACAGGCTCACACATAGACACACACACACACACACACACACACACACACACACACACACACACCTGCGCACACACTCATAAAAGCATGCTTGCTTCTGAATGACCTTAGATGACACAGAGACTCAGGCAGGGTCACAGTCCCTAGCACAGCCTGTCTGTGACCCACAGCACTCACGTGAATACTGTCGGTGATGACATAGCTATCATTACAGTGCTCTGGCACAGTGAAGACATACAGGCTCTGTGGGAATGTGGGCCGGTGGTCGTTTATGTCCATGACATGGATGGTCACCGTAGCAATGGAAGAGTTCTTGCTGACTGAGTCAGTGGCAACCACCTGTGGGCAGGAAAGAGGCAGCACACTTAGACCAGGCTGCCACTGGTCTCCCCTCCCCAGAGTTCCAGTCCCAGGATTCTCACCTGCACCACCATCACTGTCTGAGTCTCGTAGTCCACCAGCGTTGACACCCTCACGAGCACCTGCACTTCCACTGAGCCTGCAGCCCGCTCGGGTGAGACACTGAAGGCTGCAGCGTTAGGGCCTTCCAGGGAGAGTAAGAAGGTGCCATTGCTGCCCTGTGAAAGTAGAATGTTTAAGTAGGGATCCACCTCCTTATAATGCTCCCATCTCACCCTTCACCTAACCTTTTGCAGGAGGTACCTGCTTCAGAAAACCCTGCCCATTGAGGTCTCATGAGAAGAGGAAATCTCAAAAGATGGAGTATGAAGTGTGGTGAGACCTGAGGACACCTGAGCCCATGGACAAGGACATAACCACAGAGGGCTAGAGCTGACAGTAAAGCATCCAGCTGATATGAAATGAGGGGAGATGCACAAGAACACCCAAATTTGCAGATAGTACCCGTTTGACTTAGCCCTGATGGCTTGATAATCAGAACTCGACTAGAGGAAGATAAAACAACAACAACAACAAAATTTTTGATAAAGGAAACAAGGATAAATTGCTACAATTTCATGAACTTGACCTATACTCATGGAGATT